CCCTGTGGCTGAGTTTCACCACAAGGACCTCGGGCCTCCTAGGTTCTTTCTGTAGACAGCCAGGGCTGTCTTTTTCTTTTTTAATGTAGGTACTGGGAACTTTAAAACTGCATATGTGTCCTGGCTGATGTGGCTCAGCGGACTGAGTGCCAGCCTACAGACAGAGAGGTCACCAGGCCGATTCCCAGTTGGGGAACTTGCCTGGGTTGTGCATCATGTCCCCAGTTGGGGGCATGCAAGAGGCAACTGATTGATGTTTCTCTCACACATCGATGTTTTTCTCTCCCTCTCTTTCTCTCTCCTTTTACCACTGTCTAAAAAATAATATAAATTTAAAAAATAAAGTTTAAAATTGCACAGGCACCTCATGTTGTTTCCGCTGGAAGTACCGCTCTAGGTCTTTTCATTGCCAATAATGACACAGTCATAATGGCAGGCATCCCACTCTCTTACAACACCCCTCTCTTTCCAGCTGGCCAACTCTAGTAATTTTCTGACCCCACTGGAATCGACAGTCCATGGACTTTGCCACACTTTTGCTCCGTCTCACCCCTCTTGTGTTCTTACGTCCCTCCTCACAGCCTATGTTGCGGTCAATCATGAACTACAGTCACTTTTTTGCACAAATGTATGTATTCAGCAAATATTTGTTGAACACTAATTACGTGTTAGACATTCCTTGTCCTTGTCCTTATATTTTGGTGGTAGGAAACAAACAATAAACAAATAAGTAAATCGCATTATATGCTAGAATAGTGATTCTCAACAGGGGGCATTCTGCCCTCCCTCCCCCACCCAGGGGACGTTGGCAACGTCTGGAGACATTTCTAGTTGCCACAACAGGGGGAGAAGTGCCATTGGCATCTATTGGTAGAAGCCAGGATGCTGCTGAACATCATACAGTGCACAGGCAGCCCCCAAGTACAAAGAATTATCTGGCCCCAAAAGTCAGTAGTGCTTAGATTGAGAAACCCTGCTCTAGAAGGTGCTATTGCTTTAGAACCATTTAAAAAGTCGAGTGGAGTGGGGGGATTGTAAGAGGAATCTGGGTTGGAGGCTGTGATTTGAAGTAGGTCTGGTCAGGGTCAGCTCAGCTTCCTTGAGAAAGTGACATTTGAGCAAAGGCGTGAAGGAGAGAAGGAGGGAGACCAAGTTGGCTTCCTAGTTCATTGAGAAAATTAAAGAACCCATCACATGTGCCTTTGTACTCTTGTCTCCTGCCCAGTTATTGCGGATAAACTGTCCGTGTCCCAGCAAAGGGCAAAGCTCTCACACAGGAACCCCCGTTCCCCTACCGCGTCACGGCTGGCAGCCCTTCAGTTTTCTCCTGTTAAACAATGGCAGCCACACGGCATGTGAGAGCTCGCTCCCCAGCATACGTCATTCGTTTGGCTCAAATAAACTGTTATATATATAACAGCAACAACCTTCTTTATATATATATATATATATAAACAGCAACAACAACAACCTTCTTTTGCCCTCTCCCCTACACCCAGCTGCCGTTTTATTTTTCTCCTTCCTTTTCCTGCAAAGCTCCCCAACAGCTGTATACTACCATCACTGTCTCCAATTTCTTTTCTCCCGTTTTTCTTTTTCTTTATAATGATAAAGGTTTAATTCACCTGGAAACATTTAATTATACATTTGTATGCACCTAATAACATAGCCTCAAAATACATACAGCAAAAAGTGCAGATCTTGCCCTGACTGGGGTTCCCGCAAAGGGAAAGGTTGACGGTTTGATTCCCTGTCAGGGCACAAGCCTGGGTTGCGGGTTCGGTCCCTGGTCACATACGGGAGGCAACCAGCTGATGCTTCTCTTTCACACCGATATTTCTCTCCCTCTCTTTCTCCTTCCTTTCCTCTCTTTCTAAAAGTAAATAAATAAAACATTTTTTAAAAAAAAAGTACAGATCTTTCAGGAAAAAGACACATGTCTGAAATTCAAGCGGAATATTGTCACAAACCCTTCTCACTACCTGCTGGAAAAGCCCTCCAAATGTGATTCTCCCATTTTTCTTGAACTTCGGGCTTTTTCTCCCGAACTGCTCTTACAGGGGCCACCAGGAGGTACCACAGAGCTAAAGCCAGTCAGACAACTGTGCCCAGCTTGCTGGCCCGTGAGCAGCATCTGACACTACCAATCATGCTTTGGCTTCAGTGCCGGGTCTTTCTCGGCACCAGACGCTCATCTGGTTCTCCGCCCACCTCTCTCATCCATTCTGCTCACACTTCCTCTCTGCTTCCTCCTGGTCCCCCAACCTCTACAGGAAGGGGACACCAGAACTCACTACTTGGTGACTTCATCTCCATCTACCCTTCACCCAGCTTCCCCTCATGTCAGTATCTTCCACAGCCATGGTACATTTGTCAAAACTAATTGGTGAAAATTTTGAATGAAGCTACAGACTTAGAATTTCACAAGGAGGGCTCTGAGGGGCCCAAGGTTTGATTGGTTTGGTTTTAAAACTGAAAGTTCCATACCCATGAGGTCCCCTCAGTCTTGGACAAACAGGGACCATCAGCCACCCTATTTACAGCTTTTCCATTAATGTCCCTGTTCTGGTCCAGGATTCAATCCACCACATTTATTCAGTTGTCCTGCCTCCTTACTCTTATAATCTGCAACAGCTTCTCAGTCTTTCCTTTTTTTTCTTTAAGTATATGTCATTGATGATGCTATTACAGTTGTCCCATTTTTTTCCTCCCTTTTCTCCCCCTCCTCCCTGCATCCCCTCTCCCACCAGCATGCCCCCCCCACCCCGACCTTAGTTCATGTCCATGGGTCGTACATGTAAGTTCTTTGGCTTCTCCATTTCCTGTGCTACTCTTAACCTCCCCCTGTCTATTTTGTACCTACCAGTTATACTTCTTATTCCCTGTACATTTCCCCCCATATCCCCTCCTCCGCGCTGATAACCCTCCATGTGATCTCCATTTCTGCGATTCTGTCCCTGTTCTAGCTCTTTGCTTATTTTGTTTTTTGTTTTGTAGGTTCAGTTGTTGATAGTTGTGAGTTTGTTGTCATTTTACTCTTCATAGTTTTGACCTTCTTCTTTTTCTTAGATAAGTCCCTTTAACATTTCACGTAATAAGGGCTTGGTGATGATGAGCTCCTTTAACTTTACCTTATCTGGGAAGCACTTTATCTGCTTTCCATTCTAAGCGATAGCTTTGCTGAATAGAGTAATCTAGGTTGTAAGGTCCTTGCCTTTCATGACTTTGAATCCTTCTTTCCAGCCTCTTCTTGCCTGTAGGTTTCTTTTGAGAAATCAGCTTAAATAGTCTTAAAGGAACTCCTTTGTAGGTACCTGTCTCTTTTTCTCTTGCTGCTTTTAAGATTCTCTCCTTATCTTTAATATTGGGTAATTTAATTATGGTGTGCCTCGGTGTGTTCCTCCTTGGGTTCAATTTCTTTGGGACTCTGAGCTTCCTGGACTTCCTGGAAGTCTATTTCCTTTGCCAGATTGGGGAAGTTTTCCTTCATTATTTTTTCAAATAAGTTTTCAATTTCTTGCTCTTTCTCTTCTCCTTCTGGCGCCCCAATGATTCGGATGTGGGAATGCTTAAAGTTGTCCCGGAGGTTCCTAAGCCTCTCCTCATTTTTTTGAATTCTGGTTGAATGTTTATTTCTTCTATTCCAAATCATTCATTTGAGTCCCACTTTCCTTCCCTTCTCTGTTGGTTCCCTGTATATTTTTCTTAGCATTGCCTTCACTTCTTCCTTTATTCTGCATTCATACTCGGTCATTTCTGTGAGCATCCTGATTACCAGTGTTTTGGACTCTGCATCTGATAGGTTGACTATCTTCTTGCACTTAGGTTTTTTTTTCTCAAGTTTTGATTTGTTCTTTCATTGGGGCCATATTTCTTTGTCTGGGTGCACCTGTGACATTGTAAGGGGCGGGGCCTTAGATATTTGCCGGGGCGGGGCAACCCACGGCGCTGGGTTGTGACGCTGTGTGGGGGAGGGGTCAGAGAGGGAACAATACTGCTTGCTCAGCTCTCACCTGGCTTTCAGTCACTTCCCCTGCTACCCACAAGCAAATTGGGCCCTCCTGGTGCTAACTCCCAGGTGAGTGGGCTCGTGTATGTTCTAGGACCCTGTGGATCTCTCCCTGTGGGAACTCCCCTGTGAGGCTGGGAGTTTCTCCCACTACCGTATCCCCCACAGGTTTTTACAGCCAGGGGTTTTGAGGCTTTCTTTTCCCTCACTGGAACCCTGGGTTACATGGTTTTTCTCACTTCCCAGTTGTTCCTCCTGGTTTACCTGCATGCAATTGTGGGATTGCCCAGTCCTCCAGCTGCAACCTTGTCGCACATCCTCTCCGCTCTGGCTGCCAATCTCCACCCCTCCTACTGGTCTGGATGGATGTTTCTTCTTTAACTCCTTGGTTGTCAGACTTCCATACAGCTTGATTTTCTGGCAGTTCTTGTTATTTTTTGTTTTTAAATTGGATGTTGTCCTTCTTTTTGGTTGTGTGAGGAAGCAAAGTGTATCTACCTGCACCTCCATCTTGGCCAGAAGTCAGTCTTTCCTTTTCTTTCATGACCATGACACTTTTGAGGAATGCTGGTCAGGTATTTTGTAGAATGTCCCTCACTTTGGGTTTGCCGGATGTCCTTTTGTCATTTTGAGGAAGAAAACCCACAGAGGTGAAGTAGGGCAGAAATTGGATCTTTAAAAAATGTTTTATTTATTTATTTTTAGAGATAGGGGAAAGGAGGGAGAAAGTGAGGGAGAGAAACATCAATGTGTGAGCGAAACATCGATCTGTTGCTTCCTGCACTTGCCCAACAGGGGGCCAGGCCTGAAACCCAGGCATGTACCCTGACCGGGAATTGAACCTGCAACATTTTGCTTTGCAGGTCTGTGCTCAACCAACAGAGCTACGCTGGTCAGGGCAATTTTAGTACTGTTTTGAAGTTTTAAAATATTAATGTAGACTGGAAGTGAATGTACAGCAAACACGGCATTGGTGCCCCTGGCGCTGAGGATGCTGGCAGCGGTTGTAGCCCAGCTGATGCCACCTCAGGCTGCAGCTCTTGCCATCAGGTATGCATCCAAGAAGACAGGTGGCAGCTCCAAACACCTTGGTGGAAAGTCACCAGGTGACTACTTTGGCATCAAGAAAATGGAGGGTCACTATGTTCATGCCAGCAACATCCTTGGGACTTAGAGTCACTTTTGCTGGCATCCAGGTGCTCATGTGGGGCTGGGGAAGAAGTATCTGTATGCCCTGGAGAAGGGGGTCGTTGGTTACACTAAGGAGGTCTTCATGCCCCACCCCAACAACGTGGAGGCTGTGGATCTGTCACTCAGGCTGCCCAAGGGCACTGTGGTTCCTGCCAAGCCTGAGGGTATCTTCAAACTGGTAGCTCTGCTTTGAGCTCCTGGTTAAGGCTGTTGGACAGAGCCTGGCGCCCAAGTGGCAGGAGCGGGTTGTACCAGAAGTCAAGGGTTGGGGTGATGACTAGACCTCCTGAGGAAGAAGTCTGTGAAGTGACTGGTTGGTAAACCTTTTGGAGACCTGATGTGGGGCCAAAAATGAACTTAGCTGGAGCCATAAAAAATAGTGTTAATTATAAATACTACCCTATCAAACATGCTGTTCTGCAACTTTTTTCTTTCAACAGTGTGTGTTGGAGAGCAATTTTAGGACACCTAGAGCTATGACATTCTTCTAAATTTTACCCTATTACAAGTAACTGCAATGGTTCTTAATATTTTTTAAATGTAACTATTTTTATTATTCATTGTATTTTTTAGTTCTTACTATATTTTTAAAAGATTTTATTTATTTATATTTAGAGAGAGGGGAAGGGAGGGAGAAGTTCCCTTTCCCACTCCCCTAATCGGAGGCAACCCAGGCACGTGCCCTGACCGGGAATTGAACCCGTGGCCTGATTTGCAGGACGCTGCTCAACCCACTAAGGCACACCAGGCAGGGCTGCAATGGTTCTTTGAATGCTCCTCTGTGCATCTCATGAGAACATTTGCTCGACATAGACTAGGCACATTTACCTGTTAATAGATTCTGAAAAATGTCCGACTCAAGTGTCTGAACACATTTATACGGCAGTAGCATTGGAAGTATTCGTTTTTCTCACTTCTTACCGACACGTGATAACCTACAAAAGCGCAGTGACCTTCTGAGGGTGCCGGGTCACTTTCCGGACCACACCTTCCAGAATGCACTGCGGTTTATCGGCTACCTGGTTGCGTGAAATGGAATGGCCAATCCCTGGGAACCTCAGTAAGGTGGCGCAGCCGCCACTCCTCACCTACGCCTGGGGCGCCCAGAGGAGTGACTACCACTCCCATAAGCCACAGTGGACTGGCGGAGCTGGCCACCATTTCAAGGCTCGGCAGGGGCAGGAGAGGGCCGGGTATTCCACTTCCCGGCAGGCAGTGCGGCCGAGGGGCGGGACTCCATTTCCCAGCAGGCTCCAGGCGGCGGGCGCCGCTGTGCCTTGTGTGGGATGTAAGCGTGGAGGTGGGCGCGGGGGACCGAGGCTAGGACTCCTCTTGGGATTTGGGGGGCTTGGCTAGAGGGTGCCTTCCAGACGGGCTCTAGGGCCTGGGGATCCGGTCATAGAGAGGGAGTGGAACGGCCATTGGCGGTCCTCAGCGCGGATCTAGGGGCGCACCCCCATCGGGGCCGGGGCTCCTGGGGTTTTAGGGGACGAGGAGGCCCTGCAGCCTTGGCTGAGGGGGTCTCATTGGCGCAAGAACAGATGAGCGGAGGGTGAAGGGGAGGGTGAAAAGGACAGGGAAGCAAGGGATTGTGTGTGTGTGGGAGGGAGAAGGTGGGGAGTGGAACCTTAGCGGAGCCTGGGAGGGGGCTTCCGTTGTGCCTGCCCGACTCTCCTTCCCCCGGCTCGCCCGCAGGCCAAGGCCCGCCGCCATGGGGCTGAAGGCCGCCCAGAAGACGCTGTTCCCGCTACGCTCCATCGACGACGTGGTGCGCCTGTTTGCAGCCGAGCTGGGCCGAGAGGAGCCTGACCTGGTGCTCCTATCCTTGGTGCTGGGCTTCGTGGAGCATTTCTTAGCTGTCAACCGCGTCATCCCCACCAACGTGCCCGAGCTCACCTTCCAGCCCAGCCCGGCGCCTGACCCTCCCGGCGGCCTCACCTACTTCCCAGTTGCTGACTTATCCATCATCGCTGCGCTCTATGCCCGCTTCACCGCCCAAATTCGAGGTGCTGTCGACCTGTCTCTGTACCCTCGAGAGGGGGGCGTCTCTAGCCGCGAGCTGGTGAAGAAGGTCTCGGATGTCATCTGGAACAGCCTCAGCCGCTCCTACTTCAAGGATCGGGCCCACATCCAATCCCTCTTCAGCTTCATCACAGGTTGGAGCCTCACAGGTGGCACGGAGGGCGAATCCTGTCCCACCTGACAACCTTGGCCCACCTCTTCACAACACTTGGTTTACAGGGCCCTTTTGAGACCTGTAAGCCTTGTGAGGTGGGGCAGGTGTTAACCTATGGAGTTAGGGGAACTGAATCCCAGAGAGGGGAAGCGATGCTCCAGAGTCACACAGAATGGCAAGGCTGGGACTAGATTCCAGGCACTTGGCTCCAAGCCCATTAACCATCCTCTATCCCCTTAGCGCCCCTCCCCATCCCTGCCACTGAGCAGCTATGGGAGACCTACAGCCCAGTATGAGGCACAGAGGACAGCAGCAGATTTGGAGGGGGAGGAGCTAAAATCTGCTACACTTGAGACAATTACATGAAATATTTATGAAAACGTTTTGAAGGTGAACAGACTAAGGGCTTCACCTCAAGTGATGGCTTAAGTCTCAGGGCTGGCAGAGATCTTTCTTTGCTCCAAGCCCAGTTGACCAGCAGTTGCATCCTGGAATGCCATGTTGAGAAGGAACCTGAGGCTGCTTCTGAGCTTAGCAGGAAAAGAGTGCACAGATAAATCAGGAGTATTTGCCAGGGAGTCCATGGAAAAAAAGAGCATTGGCCAGAGGTCCTGTTTTTGCCCACTCTGTTATAACCTGATAGGCATAATAAAATCAGGAAATTCTTAAGTCAAGATAAACATACAAGATGGTTGCCGAGAAAGAGCAGTGACTAGTCTAAGGCTGGGTGGAACTAGAAAATTCCAAGAAGGTCTGTTGTAGATAGGGGACCTAAATAGGGAGGGCGGGGCTTTGAACACAAAGGAGGAGGGGGAGGGAGAGGTGTTAAAGGAGCTTCTGAGATTTGGTCACAGGCTGGGAGGTGGGGGTGGGAGGGAACAGGGCCCATCACTACATAGACCCCTTTCCCTAGGCCAGAGCTCAGAGGACCCTCTTTCATTAGCTCCCCCTTCCACAGGCACCAAACTGGACAGCTCTGGTGTGGCCTTTGCTGTCGTGGGGGCCTGCCAGGCTCTGGGTCTCCGGGATGTCCACCTCGCCCTGTCTGAGGACCACGCCTGGGTTGTGTTTGGGCCCAATGGAGAGCAGACAGCTGAGGTCACCTGGCATGGCAAGGGCAATGAGGACCGAAGGGGCCAGACAGTCAATGCAGGCGTGGCTGAGCGGGTATTGCCTTTTCCCCCTGCTCCCTTCACAGCCCTGGCCCAGTCCACCCAAGGGGCTGTGCTTTCCTGGGCCACACTCCCCTCCTCCCATCACCACTCATATATGTCAGGAGGGGACGCAGAAGGGCCCCTTTCCTGGCTGTCATTCCCTGGAGCGGGCACAGGTGGGTCATCAGGAGACGTCTGGTCTCGCCCTTTCTCAAGAGCTGGCTGTACCTGAAAGGATCATACATGCGCTGTGACCGCAAGATGGAGGTGGCATTCATGGTGTGCGCCATCAACCCTTCCATTGACCTGCACACTGACTCCCTGGAGCTGCTGCAGCTGCAGCAGGTGAGGTGTGCCCGTGGGACCCCGGGCTTTTAACTTGCTGTTTTGCAACGTGGTTAACAATTCCTGGCCTGGCCTTTCCCAGGGCTCTTGGGAGAGTGGTACTGAGATGTGAAAGAGCTTTGACCCTGTAAGAGGCTGGTTCCTAAATTCTGGCCCTTCCCGCCTATTGGGAGGTCCCTGCTGTTGTTGGACCCCACTTCTGCCTGGTAGAATGAGGACTCCACACCCTTCCCTCCCCCAGTTCATAATTCTCTCTTTCGGTCTCCAGAAGCTGCTCTGGCTGCTCTATGACCTGGGACATCTGGAAAGGTCAGTGGAGGAATGTGGCCAGGCTGGGCCCTCGGGGCTTGGGAGGCTAGATGGCAGCCTGGACTCATGACCTTTTCCCAGGTATCCCATGGCGCTGGGGAACCTGGCAGATCTGGAGGAGCTGGAGCCCACCCCTGGCCGGCCAGACCCACTCACCCTCTACCACAAGGTGGGGACATCTCAGAAGGGTGCAGAGGGGAGACCCAACAGTGGCTGGGGTTCCCTTTTCCCCGGGAACTGGGAGGGGGCAAGTGAGAGAACCTGTGTGGATTTGCATTTGCTATGTACATATTCAGCGCTGCCTGGGGGGTGCTCTGGGAGTGGCGGGCCTGGATTTGTCCTTTCAGCCCTGCTTTTTCTGCTGCCTCTCATTGTCCTTCGAGGAATATGACAGAGGTCAAATGTAGGGGCACTGAGGAAGGGCTGTTAACTTGGTGGGGGTGGGGTTAAAGGGACATTGGGCTGGGTTTGGAAGGCTTTGGTGTTTGTGTAGGAGTGTGTGGGAAAGCCTGGGAGAGGGACACACTTGGAGGATGGGCCTCTCCCCTTCCCTAGTTCTTGTCCTGTGGGGGTCCCCGCCATCTGCATTTGGGTCCAGGCCTCAGCAAGCAGTCCTGCGGACTCAGGGAGGAGCACCTGCTAGAGGGGATGCCAGGGGATGAGGTGGGATCGGAGATGGGACTCTGGGATCTTGCCTGTTTCACGTTTTGGGTGTGATGTGATGGGACATCCGTGCCAAGTGGTGCAGCTGGGGGCTGCCTCCCTGAGGCCCCTTTGCTCTATTCCCAGGGCATTGCCTCAGCCAAGACTTACTACCGGGATGAGCACATCTACCCCTACATGTACCTGGCTGGCTACCACTGTCGCAACCGCAATGTGCGCGAAGCCCTGCAGGCCTGGGCCGACACAGCCACTGTCATCCAAGAGTGAGGATTGCCCCCGCTAGGGCCTTAGCCCATTCTTTCTGCCTCTTCCACCCAGGTCCCAGCCACCCTTGTCCAGGAGTGAGGCCTGGGTCCCAAGCCCCATTCTTTCCTCTAGCCTCTAGGCAGGCAAGGCTCCTGTCACCCAGGGGATAGGGACCCCCAATGAGGGTCTCCCGCCTTCCCCTCCCCTCCCCAACGCCAACCACCGTCATCTAGCAGTAAAGCCTGCACCCCATGCCCCTCTCCTCACTCTTGCTCTGGGCTGACACCGACCCTATCATTTTGAAGTGAGGACCCGAGCCATACACCCAGTTCCTAGATGACCCAGGGGAAGAAACCTGGGCGTCATCCCCCACCAGGTCCCAGGGGGCACCCACCATGGCCAAGGCCCCACGGTGCCCTACTGCTCTCACAGCTACAACTACTGCCGGGAAGACGAGGAGATCTACAAAGAGTTCTTTGAAGTAGCCAATGATGTCATCCCCAACCTGCTGAAGGAGGCAGCCAGCCTGCTGGAGGCTGGCGAGGAGCGGCCGGGGGAGCAGACCCAGGTGAAGGGCTGGAGCCCCACCTGTGTCCACCTTCCCTTCTGACCAGGGCCCCCAGTCACGGCACATGGGGACAGCTGCCCAGCACCAGGACTGCATGAGGAAGGTGGCCCAGCACACACAGCTCTGTTCTCTCCGTCAGTAGCTGAGGTCCTGGGTTTGAGGGAAGTGGGGGTATTTTAGGGGTTTCTGCCCTGCTCCTTCAGGTAAATGGGGTGAAGCCCATTTCTTTCATGGCCAGGGCTCCTTATTCAGTTGATGGGGAGGTAAGGAATGGTTCCCCCTTTTCTCTGAGTCTGGCTAAGGATTGATTTTATAAAAAGAAAGAGGTTCTGGGAATTCTTGTCCCCTCTGGCAAGGGGTGAGTAAGGGATTCTGATCTGTGCCCTCCTTTCCCCCTTGCCCAGGGCTCCCAGAGCCAAGGGTCTGCCCTCCAGGACCCAGAGTGCTTCGCCCATCTGCTGCGTTTCTACGATGGCATCTGCAAATGGGAAGAGGGCAGCCCCACGCCGGTGCTGCACGTGGGCTGGGCTACCTTTCTTGTGCAGTCCCTAGGCCGTTTTGAAGGACAGGTGAGGGGCAGCTGCACCGAGGGACTGAGGAGGGTAGGTGGTGGCAGCACCTACAGAGGAGCTAGAGCCTTCGTGGCCCTGGAGGGGATTTGCTCATCCCCTGGGTGCACATGAGACTTGAGGCCTCAACATGATGGCCAAGGCTGGTCCTAGGAATGCAGCCACTGGGTTGCAACCTTTCCCTCAGTTTGCTTTCCCTGTTCGCTCCAGGTGCGGCAGAAGGTGCGAATAGTGAGCCGGGAATCAGAGGCAGCTGAGGCGGAGGAGCCCTGGGGCGAGGAAGCACGGGAAGGCCGGCGGAGGGGCCCGCGGCGGGAGTCCAAGCCCGAGGAGCCGCCGCCGCCCAAGAAACCAGCGCTGGACAAGGGCCCAGGCGCCGGGCAGGGCGTCGTGCCAGGGCCCCCCCGGAAGCCCCCAGGGACGGTCCCTAGCACTGCCCGAGGTCCTGAAGGCGGCAGCACGGCCCCAGCGCCTGCGCCTGCTGCGTCGCCTCCACCAGAGGGGCCGGTGCTCACTTTCCAAAGCGAGAAGATGAAGGGCATGAAGGAGCTGCTGGTGGCCACCAAGATCAACTCGAGCGCCATCAAGCTGCAGCTCACCGCGCAATCGCAAGTGCAGATGAAGAAGCAGAAGGTGTCTACACCCAGCGACTACACTCTTTCCTTCCTTAAGCGGCAGCGTAAGGGCCTCTGAACTACCCTAGAACTCCTATCAGCTCACGGCAGTCGCCCTCAGTCCCTTTCAGGCTCCACCCCAGCAACCCCGCGAGTGCAGGCAGCCAATGGGGCCCCGGCCCGGCCTCCAGGCCCCACCCCTACCCGGAATCGAGGCTCAGTCCCTGTCCGAGTCAGACTCAGCCCTGCGCTCCACATTGGAATATAGATTCCATCTCCCAGTGTCCTCGTTGGCCAACTGAAACCTCACCCTGGGCCCCCTTACCAATCTTTACAGGTCCGACCACGGGAACCTCAGGCCCCACCTTAGAACCCAGTCTCTAACTGTAGGCCTGACCCGTGTTTTTCTGCGCCCTTCCCAGCCCGTGGGGCTCAAGTTTCACCCTAAACCCTAGCCGCGCAGGTCCAGCCTCCCGCCCGCCCGGGAACCTAGGGCCCCGCTCAGAGAACATTTACATACTTAAGAATTCCATCTCTTGGAAAGTCAAGCCCCCTACCCCAAAGAATTGAAGGGGCACTTCCAGAAGTTGGAAATAGTGACTTCCTCCCCTCTCTATCCCACTACTCCGGGGTACTAAGCCGCGCCCCCGGCCTGTGTGAGTCCTGAGCTCCGCCACTTTTCTGACCCACTGGCTCCAGATCAGAGCAGACCTCTCCGACCCTCTGGGAACCTCCCCTGATTCAGCCCGTCTCAGGGGACCCTGGAGGAAATCTGCAGGTTTGCGAGTGGATGAGGGGAGCCTATCTATCTGTTTTGGTACATAGATTTATTTTTCAGTTCCAAGGAAAATGAATACATTTTGTAAAAAAACAAAAAAAAAATGTCTGTGTTTCGTCTGGGAATTGAAGGGGGGCTTATAGGGCGCCCTCTCTATCCTATGCCTTGTGGCTCGCCACCTGTAGAATGCAGGAAACCGGTGGCTGGCTGAAGGGCTTCGGCCGGGTGGGCTCCGTGAGCCTTCGGGGCTTCCCCTCCCCGCCCAGGGTTTGTCCCGCGGGCGCCTCCTCCCGGCTGGGCGGCGGGGCATCCCCAGCCTTTCCCCGCCCCGGGCCCCGGCCCCGCCCCCGCGGCCTCTGAGCCACCGGCGCCGGCCCTGCCCCGCCCCGCGCCGCCCGCGCCGGCTCCGCAGCTCGCGTCCGCCCGCCAGCCGGCCCGCCCGGCGCCGGGCCATGGCGCTGCTGCGGGATGTGTCGCTGCAGGATCCCCGGGACCGCTTTGAGCTGCTGCAGCGCGTGGGGACCGGGACCTATGGCGACGTCTACAAGGTGCGTCGGGCGGCTGGACGGGCGGGGGAGCAGTCAGGAGGGAGCAGGCTGGCGCCTGGCAGTGGGATCCAGCCCCCAGCCCCGCCCCCCTCCTCATTCCACTTCCCCCCACCGTCCCTCTAGGCCCGCGACACGGTCACGTCCCAACTGGCCGCGGTCAAGATAGTCAAGCTAGATCCAGGTGAGGGCCCGGAGCCAGGGCCTCTGCGCTAGAGGGAGGGCAGAGAGCCTGGCGGCGCGGTGTGAGGGGCGGAGAGTTGACATTTCTGATCCCCCTGAGAGGCAGGCCCCAGGCGGTCCTGTCCCTTGGCACCTGTCTGGCTTTGGAGGGGGGAAGCACTCAGGGCTCATTTGCTGATGAGGGCACTGAGTGAGGGCGAGCCCGCCGAGGCTCCCCCCATGATGCCCTGTGCTCCCCAGGGGACGACATCAGCTCCCTGCAGCAGGAAATCACCATCCTCCGTGAGTGCCACCACCCCAATGTGGTGGCCTACATTGGCAGCTATCTCAGGTGAGGCTGCTTCATCCCCCTGCCCACACCGAGGCAGCCCCCATGTGTCACCCTGCCATGTGCCCACCCCAGCTCTGTGTCCCACCAGGAATGACCGCTTGTGGATCTGCATGGAGTTCTGCGGAGGGGGGTCCCTGCAGGAGATTTATCATGGTGAGGGCCAGGACTCCGGGCCCCAGAGGGCCACAGCCTTCTTCCCGCCCTCTACCCCAACATGTGGCAGGAGGGGAGAGCCGGGGCCCACGTCTACATGGCTGTGTGACCTTGAGAGAAATACTAGCCTTCTCTGGGCTCTGTGTTCCAGACTGCCTGCTGCCTCCTTGACCCAGGGTGGCCTGGGAGGGTCAGCGTATCCCCCAGACCCCCGCGCCAGCCCCCACCCCCTTCCATTTCAGCCACAGGGCCCCTGGAGGAGCTGCAGATTGCCCGCGTCTGCCGAGAGGCGCTGAAGGTAGCCAGGCCCCTAGGGCTGCTCCCGCGCCCCGTCCCCAGGAGCTCTGGGCAGGGAGCCCCGCTGGCCAGTGTGTTGGGGGGTGGAGTGCCTCAGTCCTGAGGGGCTGTGGGTCCTGGGAGAAGGGGCCCCAGCCCTGTTGCCGGAAGCAGCCCATTTCCCTCTTGGCTCAGTCACTTCCTGTTTGAGGAGAGGGGAGGAGGAAGCCACTTGGGTGGGGGACCCCAGTCCCCAGAGGGGTTCAGGAAAGGTGGGATGGTGCTGGGTAGCTACCCTCAGGGGCTCCTCTCTGTCCCCAGGGGCTGCACCACTTGCATTCTCAGGGAAAGATCCACAGAGATATCAAGGTAGGGGTCTGGCCTCGGGCATTCGGGGGGAGAGAGGGGGAGGCTCTCAGGAGCACCAGATGGTATTCTCTGTCCTCCGTTTCTGCAGGGAGCCAACCTTCTGCTCACCCTCCAGGGAGACGTCAAGCTGGGTCAGTACCTGGGGAACACAGTCAGGGTGAGGGTTCTGTGGGAACTCCTGGAGTCTTACAGTCTGCTCCTTGGGCAAGGCACCTTGCAGTTTGGACCTCAGTTTCCCCATTGAGAAAAGTGGAAGAGGCCTTTCTTCCCACTAGAAGTTAGATACAGTTAGGTCTCTACGGAGTTCAATGTGGGACCTGGCACTTGGTCGAGGTAGAAGGTGGTTGACCCTTTCCACGAGGGGAACCTGGCCTTGGCGGCTGTAGCTGAACATGGTCCGCCTGCTGTCTGAGCTCTGCCAGGTGCATCCTGAGCCGAGGGGTGGGTGGGGAGTGGCAGCCAGAGGGCGGGTGCGAGTAGCTTTTCTCCCCGCAGCTGACTTTGGGGTGTCAGGCGAGCTGACGGCATCTGTGGCTAAGAGGAGGTCTTTCATTGGGACTCCATACTGGTGAGGCTGCACCTCAGGCTGAGGGGGCAGGGGCCATAGGTGGGGACCCTCGCCATCCTGTCCGTGACCTCACCTCCAGGATGGCCCCTGAGGTGGCTGCCGTGGAGCGCAAAGGTGGCTACAACGAGCTGTGTGACATCTGGGCCCTGGGCATCACAGCCATTGAGCTGGGCGAGCTGCAGCCCCCACTGTTCCACCTGCACCCCATGAGGTCAGTGGAGCACCTGCCCCATGCCTGACCCCTAGGGCCCCGCCGACCCTCAACTCCTGGCCTTCTGCTCTCCTTAGGGCCTTGATGCTCATGTCCAAGAGCAGCTTCCAGCCGCCCAAGCTGAGGGACAAGACGCGCTGGTGAGAGTCCACGTCCCTTCCTGGGGCACCCTTTCCAGCCAGTCCTCATGGGGGCAGGGGAGCCATCTGCCAGCTCCCAGAGTGCGGCCTCGAGAGCCCTGACCTCTCTGGTATTCAGCAGACCGTTGTGGGGAGGGACCTGGGCGCCCTTCTGGGCCTGGGACCAGTATGGACAGGGAAGAAGGGCAGACGGTGGTTGATGGAGGATCCTCCATGTCGCAACAGCAGTATTGCTCAGGCCAACTGTCCTTGGCCTCGGGCTGGCTCCTTGCTGGGCAGGCCCAGCAGACTCCTCTGGAGTGACGGCAGAGGGCAGGAGGCAGGATGTTCTGCGCGAGGGCTAACCGGGGTCTGGGTGCCGGGGGCTCTTGTGCCCACTAGGACCCAGAATTTCCACCACTTCCTCAAGCTGGCCTTGACCAAGAACCCCAAGAAGAGGCCAACAGCAGAGAAGCTTCTACAGGTGGGAGGCCGGGGCTGGAGCTGGGGCACGGGGCACAGTGCTTGAAAGCAGGGACCCGGGGGCCAGAGACTAACCTGAGCCCTCCTCGACCCTCAGCACCCTTTCACAGCGCAGCAGCTGCCCCGCGCTCTCCTCACACAGCTGCTGGACAAGGCCAGTGACCCCCAGCTGGGCGCCCCCTCCCCGGACGACTGTGATCTGGAGGTACTTGAGAGGCGCTGGGGAATTGGGTCGTGGCCTGGCCTGTAGGGAGTGCAAAGGTGATGTAGGTCAAGGGCCCTTTACCTTGAATATTTCTGGCACAGGGCGCCACCCATTAGGAATCTTCCCTGAGCTGGTCTTGCCTCACTGCGCTGCCCTTTGATAGGTTCCTGCCCTTGACCCGGGCTGACCATGACCCTTGCTCAGCCATGTTCTGCTTTCTGTGCGACCTTGGGCAGTCACTTGCCTCCGTGTGCTGGTTCACTCATTTGCAAGATGAGCGTGCCCTGTCACCTCACAGTAACCTCGGGGTGCGCAAGTGTGTAGGGCACACTGGATGCGGTGTGAGGCGAGCGCTGGGTGTGTGCCCACTGTTTGTGTTCTTTCTTAGACATATGACATGTTTCCAGACACCATTCACTCCCGGGGTCAGCACGGTCAGGCTGAGAGGACCCCCTCAGAGATCCAGTGTGAGTCAGTGGAGCTGGGGCTGCGTCTGTGGATTGGGTGGCGGTGGGGGGGGCTGTGTGTATGGGTTTTGCGGGAAGGCTGAGTGTGTGGATTGGGGGTGGCCTGTGTGTGTGTGGATTTGGTGTGAGTGGGAGGGTGAGTCCCGCGTCTTCATTCCCCCTAACCTGTGTACGCTGGGCCCCCCAGTTCACCAGGTGAAATTTGGCGCCCCCCGCAGGAAGGAGACGGACCCACTAAATGAGCCGGTGAGAGGGCCGGCTTCGTGGGAAGGGTGGTGTGCAGGGTGGGCTAGGGTGCCACGCTGGAGGTCGGGCTTCTCACATCAAGGGCCTTTGAAGCGCTGGCCCTTGGGCCTGGGGGAGGCTGTCCAAGCAGGCAAGTCCCACCCAGGGACGTGGAAGGCTGGGGGCTCTTTCCTGCATCTGGAAGGTGGCAAGGCGACCACGCCTTTCTAAAAAGTGGGCCTGTCACACCCCTGAACCCCCAGCCCGCTCTGTGCAGCACGCTTCTCTCTGCCTCAGCCTCTGTGTCTGTCGCCGGCTGGCTGAGTCACGTCTCTCTGCTTCTTGCCATCTCTTATTGTCACCATTTCATCACTCCCACGGCCTCAGTCTCTCCATGCCTTGCTCTGTCTCATTCTCTCTGCTGTTTGTCTCTCTTTCATAATCTCTCTGCCCCTCATTGTCTTCCTCTCTCTCTCAAGTTTCTTGCCTATTGCTGTCTCCCTTTCCGTCTGTCTTCTCTTTTCCCCACAGCCTCTTGATCACCTTCTCACATTTCCTCTGTCCTTGTCCCTCTCCCCATCTTCCTGCCGCGGTTTCCCCACAGTGGGAAGAGGAGTGGACGCTGCTGGGGAAGGAAGAGCTGAGTGGGTGAGTGAGGGAGAGGGAAGCTGCAGGGCAGGGTGTGGGGGCCGCAGAAAAGGCTGAGCTCTGAGCCCTTCCCCTCTGCATGCAGGAGTCTGCTGCAGTCCGTCCAGGAGGCCCTGGAGGAAAGGTGAGGGGCTGGGCCTGGAGGAGGGATGGGGCAGCCGGGCCGGGGCGCTGTCACAGCTCATGCCTTATTTCCCTCTCATTACCTGCCATAGGAGCCTGACCATCCGGCCAGCCTTGGAACTCCAGGTGCGGACCGGAGGGAAGCTGGCGCGGGGGATGGGGAGTGCTGCAGAGGGTGCAGCTGGGGCGGGGCCAGGG